TCGCTCTGTGGGCGGGGTTTCCCGCTGGGGGTGGGCAGGGGCCATGCATGTGCACAGTAGCCGGAGCCTGCCAGAACCTACACGCGGTTCTGTGAGAGTAGGTGGTGATGCGGTACCGCACAGCGATGGCCACCGTAGCACCAGGGCCCAGTGGAAGCTGCGCTCCGCCTGTGACTGAAATGGACGCGGTCTGGCCCCGCCTCCCCAGCTACTAAGTGGCAGCACTGGAGCTCCGCCCCACTCCTCTAGGGGTGTCCGTACCCCTGCCATCATCCCTCGGAGTGTCCATGGAAAACAAAAGTAGATGGACTGTGCTTTGTTTTTGTTTTTTCCAAATGACGTCAGGTTCCCCTGTGAAAGTGCTTTCCCGGGCCGTTCCCCCTCGTGCCACACGGGTCCCTGCCTTCAGCCAGTGGCCAGTGCCGCAGAGCTAAAAGGAGGGCTTCCTAAGGTGACACGACCCCACCTGTGTCTCCCTCAGTTCGCTCTGCTGGTTAGAGACGTTCTGAGACACCGCAGGTGCCTTGCGTACCACTGGAGTAGCCTGGTTGAGGAAGGCGCTGATGACAGCCTGGGGGCGGCCTGGACCTCCGAGCACTGCCCCCCTGACCCTGCCATGTGGGAGGGCCGTTCTTCCATCTCAGCTGACCTGTGGGTGCCCGAGAGGAGGCACTGCTGCTGCGGTGTCATCTCCAGCCGGAGGAACCCAGTCACTGCCAAGCAAACGTCATGTCTCATGTCTCATGTCTTCCTTTCCTTCCCCAGCTTTGCCTTCTCGAACTTCTACCCTTTTCCGAGACGGCTGGCAAGAGGAGATCGGATTAGATTCCAACGCCAGGGGGCTGGGTCCAGGTGAGCCGCGCTTGAGTTCTCGCCTCACAGTGCCACACCCTTCCTTGGAGTGAGCGCGTCCTTCCTCCTCCTGCCACGCGTGGTCCACCCACACGGCCACAGCACCCTTTGTGCTCGCTGAAAATGCACACACACTTCGGGTGGGTCCCGTGTTCTCCAGACATCCTCCGTGGCCTCATGCCATCCTTTCGGTGTCCCCACTCTTCCCAGCACTCGACCACCCCTTCAGGCCTCCTCTTTCTCCCTTATTGGGCAATTAAAGGAGCATGAGGGAAGTCATTATTCACCAGTAAGCACGGCCACCCCTGTGGGAAAGGAAGTGCGCCCCTGGAGCTCAGTGTGTTAAGTAATGAAAGACATTGAACAAGTGATGGTGAGACACATGCATTCACTGCAGGCAGTTACCTTAATCTGGAAGAGGCCACATAGAGTCTTTCTGAGGAAACCAGGCACATGGAAGTTGAGCCCTGAAGGGTAGTGGATGGTCCCGTGGGAAGAGTAGTGTTGGGAGAGGAGACGTGGATGCTCCTAAGGGAACGAGAGGGGAGCCAAAAGTCCAGGACTCTGGGTCAGCGTTGGATTGAGGTGGGGAACAGGTAAGCACATGACTTCATCTGAAGCACACGGGAAGCCACGGAGACCTTTTAACCGTGGAAGTAACACGATAATCAGGTTTTTGTTTTTAAAATGTCGTCTGGTTCAGAAGGGGAAGGTTGAAACAGTGGGTGCCAGGAGACCACCCTCAGGTCTGAGTGAAAGATGGTGGCTTGGATTTAGGGTCACGGCAGAGGGTAAGTGAGAGTAGGTGGTGATGCGGTACTCAGAGAGACTCAGCAGGGCCGTCCCCTTTGTTCACGGCCTGCTGACTGACAGACCAGACGTAGGGAATCATGTTGCCTGGGGACGTGAACAGCGCAGCTGCTCATTCTACCAGCAAACCTAGGTACTGGGCCTGGTCTGGGCAGGGTCATGCTAGACTTTGGGTCTCCAGAAGTGAGTGACATAATCCTTGGCCTCGGTGTCCCCTGAATGAGAACTCCAGTTAAATGCAGAGTAAGACAGCATGCTTGCCAAGGTGGGTGGCCATGCTAGTGTACCACCCGGGGACAGGCTAACGTGCTGCTTGAAGCGGGCCCTGGGGGTGGGTGGGTTTACGCCCGGCCTGGATGAAAGCTCCCCAGCTGGGAAAACAGCTTGCTCAGTGTTGGTTCACTGATTTATGGTGGGAGGTCACTATAGCAGAGACACAAATACTCAAAAGGGTGTGATCAGCAGATTCTCTCCCTGGAGGCAGACCTTCATGGGAGGTGAAACCATCATGAGAAGGGTGCTGGGTGCATACAGAATCAGAGTAAGAGCACGTGGACACGCTCTAAGAGCCCTGGCCTGCACGGGGGCGGGGCCCATCTGGTGCCGTAAGCTCTTGCTGGGGTTACCGTGATACCAGGGGCCCCACCTCCTGCCCCCACCCTCCCCGATCCATTCACAGTAAGTCTGACCCAGGAAACACCTCGAGCGGACAACAATAAGGAAGCTTGGCTGCAACGTGGTAAGTGGTAGAGGTGTGAGCCGGGGGTGATGTGTCGACTATCAGAGGAGCCGCCTCACGGACCGGAGCGGGAGGCTGTGGCTGGTCTGGTAGGGTAGTGGTCATTCCTGACTTGCTCACATCCCCACATAAGATCCTTACCTCAACAGCCCCTTGTCCATATGTACCTGTTAGCTGGACCAGATGGGACACACAGCCTAGAGCAGTGGTTTTCACAATACACAGCTCCTAAGGTGCTTGTTGGAACCACAGACCCACATTGTCACAGCTGGAAAGGAGGCGCGATTTTCCCAAGTGCCAAAGGCATCCCACATGTGAGGGCCACACCTGAAACCTACCTTCTATGTATGTAAAAGATTAAGCAAACATGACATGCACTGACCACCAGGAGGCAGATGCTCCAACCAGTAGCTATGATGTGCACTGACCACCAGGGGGCAGATGCAGACCGGTAGCTATGATGGCCACTGACCACCAGGGGGCAGATGCAGACCGGTAGCTATGATGGCCACTGACCACCAGGGGGCAGATGCTCAGACCAGTAGCTATGGTGTGCACTGACCACCAGGGGGCAGATGCAGACTGGTAGCTATGATGCACCCTGACCACCAGGGGGCAGATGCTCAGACCAGTAGCTATGGTGTGCACTGACCACCAGGGGGCAGATGCAGACCGGTAGCTATGGTGTGCACTGACCACCAGGGCGCAGATGCTGAACGCAGGAGTTGCGGAGCTGCAGTGACTTGGCAGCTGCGGTCCTAGGGTGACACACCTGGAATCAGAGAGGAGGAAGCTCAATTCTGGGGCGCATCACCCAAGAAACACCCTCTCACAATCTGGGACCCTTTAGGGGATGTCAGAGCCAGTTTCAGCCCGATCCCTGCAGGCCAACCGAGGGACCCCACTGGTGCACAAATCCGTGCACCAGGTCTCTAGTATATTAATGTTGATCAATAACACCCCAATCAATTTGCTAAGTAAGATGGAAATTTAAAAATAAATAGAAATTTTAAGTGTTCATTCTAAAAAAATAAAAGCCTTTTCCTGCTCCTAGATGATAAAAATTAATATTTAATTTTTATTTTAGAATTAGCATTTTTATATATGGTATGATCTTCCCCCTCAAGTTAATGATTGGCTAGTATTCCTATTCCTACTTATTGAAATAATATACACATTCCTTACTATGTTCCAATGCCACTTTCATAGACTACTACATACTCAACTTTGTATAGTAAACTCATTATGATTCTTAAATCAGTCTTTCTGTTATAAATTGCAAGTGGTTTTCTTTTGTTATTTTTTTTCCTTTGGCTTTGATGGTATAGACAAGACCATCACTTCTTATTTTTATGTCATCTTTCTGCCTTTAGGCATCATACTGTAAAAGAACTTTCATACCCCAAGATTACATCAAACTATTTCTTGATGATGGAAAAAATAAAAGAATTCCATGGTTAGATGCATTTGTAAAACACTAAACTTTATACCCCTTTCTTGAAGAATCAAGATGTATTACTACTCACTGTTTACAGTGATTTATGACATATACCTGCTCTAGAAGAGTGTCAAAAACACAAAATATATATATTTCTTAAATTTTGTGTTTGGCTTGTTGGCCTTTTGACGTACAAATTCTCAAAATATTGATCTAAATGGAATTTTTCCCTGTTACCTTAGAGCCACTGCCCAGTTCCCATTAGTATTCTTTGAAATTCCATTAGATGATACACATTAATTTGGGGGAGGATTTAGAACTTGAGTGTCCTGGATCCATACATCTTCCAGGACTATCCTGTGTCTCTTACTGCAGTATAATTTGTAACTTTATGTAGGTGCTATTTTTTATATTGGAGTTCTTCCCGCTTAAAAAAAGTATTGTTGATATATATTTAAGAAGTCTGTTATAAATTATTTCCTTATGAAATTATAACGTCTTTCTATTGATTCACAAGAGAATGATAATTTTACACCTTTTTTTATGCCTCAGATTTGTTTTTCTTGTCATTAGCTAGAACTCTAGAGCAGCGGTTCTCAACCTGTGGGTCGCGACCCTTTTGGTGGTCGAACAACCCTTTGACGGGGTCGCCTAAGACCATCAGAAAACACATATATAATTACATATTGTTTTTGTGATTAATCACTATGTTTTAATTATGTTTAATTTGTAAGTGAAACATTACGATTCCTAACAGTAGCAACATTACAGTTATGAAGTAGCAACGAAAATAATTTTATGGTTGGGTCACAACATGAGGAACTGTATTTAAAGGGCCAGAAGGTTGAGAAGCACTGTTCTTAGAGTGATGTTCAGTAATGATAGTGTTTAGACTTTTACTTCTGTTTTCATTAAGTGAATGGTCTTTGGTTTGTTAGTGCTAATCTTTGCCTTGGGTTTTTGAATTCTGGTTTCATAGAGAAAATCTGAAGGTTTTCTGTTTATTTTTCCTGGTTGGCTTATATGACACTGCATTCGGTCTTTCCTTGAAGGTGATCTAAGAGGCCTCACCCCTAATGATCGCCGAGTCAACAGCCATTTGGAGAATGGATCACGGACACTATTTTTACCTTTCTTCTGTGTTCATTTGTCATGTGTTTCTTTCTGTGAAATGACTGCAGGTCCCTGGCATTTTGACTGTTCCTGTGCGTAGTGGCTTGTTCAGAAGTTGCAGAAAGGATCTGTTCCAACAGGTGATTTGCGAACCTGAGCGTGTCCTGCTGTCCCTGAGGTTGGACTGGATCCTGTCGGGGACCCAGGTTTTCTCTCCGGCAGGCGTGGGCTCTGTGTACTCCCTCCCTCCTTCCCTCCCGGGCAGGTGTCGGCTCTGTGCTCTCCCCTCCCTTCCGTGGAGGCCTATTGGCTTCTGAGGCCCCTGCCCTTGCCCGAGGCCGTCCCCCTGAGCCGGGTCCTGGGTAAAATTGTGCTTTTGTCCCAAAGATCACTCCAGTGCTCAGAGCCAGGCCATTTGCCTGCCCCCTGCTTGAAAGCGCCAGCTCAGCAGTGGTATCTAGTGCCCTTCTCCACGGTCACTCTTGCTGCTGAGGAGGCCAGGGCAGCCGGGTGGCGCCACAGCTCCAGGGGGACCATGGAGGACAGTTTCAGTGGGAGCAGAGTGCAGCCATCACAGCGGGAGAGCATGGGGCCATTTACTGCTTTTATTCCCAAACGATAAAGTCTATTTTGAAACTCTAAATAATTGAAACATATTAATATGTCTTTAGACATATTAAAACAAAATAATTTTTTTAAATACATTTTTTAATTGATTTCAGAGGGAGAGAGAGAAGCATCAATGATGACAGAATCATGGATCGGCTGCCTCCTGCACGCCCCACACTGGGGATCGAGCCGGAAACCTGGGCATTTTCCCTGACCAGGAATCGAACTGTGACCTCCTGGTTCATAGTCAATGTTCAGCCACTGAGCCACACCAGCCGGGCAACTTCTGAACATGTGGCTTCCTTTCAAAACAGAAGAACTAGTGCTGTGTGTGGTTTTCTTTTCTGCGAGGAAAGCCCGTATGTTCACGCAGCCCCTCAAACCGAGATTTTTCTCATGTATCGCCTACTTCACACCAGTGTGGCCAACTATAATGAAAGGCTGCATGGTAAAACCTAGATGTAGGTAAAATGGTGTGAAGTGAAGGGAAATGTGTGGCCTCAATTGGTTACGTGAGGGGAAAATAAAGGGAAAGGAAAGGTGCCCAGGGGAGTGGTGGTGGCACTTGCCCGAGACTGGGTTTGGGGACAGACAGGTACCCTCTCAAGGGAGGGGTCTTGGGCACACCTGCCACCTCAAACTCTGTGCAGCTGCTCAGCCCCACAGAACTTCCCATGACCACCGGGGTGTGACGTCCTGTTCAGGATGGAGCCCCTGGCACTGGAGATGCAGCTGGTGTGATGAGGCGCTGGACTTTCCCTTTCATTGCATTTAGTTTAGCCATCAGGCCCCAGCAGCACAGTGGTCGTGGAGGGGAACATGGCGCCTGCACTCCCCGGAGCTGAGCGCTGACATGCCATGCAGCCTCTGCTTTCCATGGCGTCTGCAGCCTTCATTACGTGGCGGGGAGAAATGCTCAGAAATGGCCGGATTGGCCCCCATCCCCTAGTGCCTGTCCATGTTTGCTCAGAAAGTTGCCACCCAGATTTAGTGACGGCTGGCATCTTGGAATGTCCCTGGGCTGAGCATTGGGTAGTGACTTTTGTAAGCCTTATTTCAGAGAGGAGGGGAGAGGGAGAGAGAGAAACATCAATGATGAGAGGGAATCATCGATTGACTCCCTCCTGCACGCCCCCTACTGGGGATCAAGCCCACAACCCCTGCATGTGC